TTCAATTAAGGTTTCTCAAATTTAATTATTGCTATTTTGTTGCTTCCAAAAGTTTTAAATGTAACTACTGCTAAATGACTGGATTGTTAATACAGACGACAAATTTATGATAAATTAAACAAATTTTTAAATGAAATTGTAAAAAATAGGCATATTTATGTATCTTTTGTCTATTACAGGGAGACTCAAGTCCTGCGGGATCAGTACTTCTGAAGGATGTCGTCCCCTACGTTTGTATTGGTCTTCTTTGCGATAGGATGCCAGGTGACGTTTGGATTTTATATTCCGCTTCTCAGAACGTCAGCATACAAATGGCTGAATGGGATTCAGTATAAAAAGTAGACTCATAAAAACAACAATTATTTTGGAAGCTTTTGTACGTGAAATTCTTCGAAAAATTGGTTTTGGCATTCAACTCCGCTGTAAGAAGAAGTTGCATTGAATAAACGCTAGCGTTATTCTGCAAATAACTTGGCGGTGTCACACTTTTTATTCTTAGATTGGTTAGGAAAGAATCAGAGAGTGATCAGAATTTCATTGTTTTACTCTTTTTATAATAACACAGTATTGTGTTATCACAATGTCGCTCATAAAATGATGAGAATTTGTTCAGAGAGTGGTCAGGGAATGGTTAGAATGTGCTTAGAGAATGGTTATGAAGCGATTAGAATTATAGTGTAGTACGACATACGACTCTGCAAATAACATTTCTGTAGCAAGCATTTGATATTAGAGCAATCAGGAAATGAGCACTCTTATTTTTTTTTAGTACAGCGACCAAAGCTGCCGCAGGGGTTCTCTGTACATCATCTCGTCGGTATTGGGCTGGATCCCAGAGCGAGCAAAGTCTACTGGTTTTTGTTCTCCTCAGATTCGCATTTAGAGTTAGTTTTTAACAACTTTTGACCTCTTCCTCCACTTTTCGCTCTACCTTTGACCTACTTCAAAAAGGATGAACTTCCGCAGACAAAACTTGTTAAATATCAAAATCTTTTTTGGTCAGCTTTTTCACTAGCTTCGGAAGATGTTTGCATTGAAAGTCAGTCTAATTTGTGTAAGTGTTAAAATAGTTCCATTCGACAACCCTTAGGTCTTGGTTCACTGAAATAGCGAAGACGTTACCGAAGCCAAATTTACCACCAAATAATGTACCGCAGCAGTATCCCACTAATGATCAGAACAGATCACCTGTATACAGTAAGTTTTATACTTTTTTGTATTTCTTGGCCGAGAATATATTATTATTCATTGACTATATAACTCAAGTTTATTTTATCGTGATTGCTAACAGTTATGCAACAGACAGTTGAAAAAAAAAGAGAAACGATGGGCATTGCAACTTTTCTGTCTACAAAAAGAAACCAAGCGACGGGGCAGTAAAATAAAGCCAAAATTTTGTTTGACAAAAGAGCAGTGGATTGCTCCGTAAAGCATATTGATATAGTATATTTACAAGGTTAGTCATGCAAAAAAACTCATTGCAGACCCGCCACCTGTTTATCCGGCAGCTCCTCCACCGGTTACTGGAACTTACCCGTCAAGTAATCCAGCCCCTCCTTATCAGACAGGTTATCCCGGTCAACCACCACCTGTGCCTTACAGTGTTGCGCCAGGTGGCTACTCTAATCCTGGACCCGGTCATACAACTGTTATAGTACAGGTATTTGTGCACTACGAGCAATTTTAATTGTAAATCTACGTAAACTTTTAAATTAAACTGACAGCTTTTTATAAGTTACAGCGTGACTATGTGAAGAATTTGATTGTTTTAGGAACGCGGCGGTGGTTACGGAGGCTACAGTGGCGGTAGAAGCAGCGGACCTGGCTTTGGCTCCGGTTTGGGAACAGGTCTATTGATGGGCAGTTTGATGGGTTATGGACTTGGAAGCTTTTGGGGAGGTGGTTTTCATAGTTTCGGACATGGCTGCGGCGGTTATCCGGTAGGGGGCGGTGGATTTGGAGGCGGTTACATTCAGGTGAGAGGTTATAAACTTATGCACTGCTTTCGTAAACTTTGCGAAGAACAAGGAACTTAAATCATAGCTTTTACTTCTGTTACAGTCTCTCACCAGTTTCTCGTACTTGTATCTTTTTAGGATAATGATACGTATATAACGAATAATTATTACGGCGGAAACACTAATAATTCGATTGAAAACAATGAAAGTACAAGTGTTACCGACACGAACAATACCCATTATCCTAGCGGCCAAGATGATGTTGTTGGGAACGACGACTATACTGGTGGATATGATTTTGGTGATGGAGACAGATATGGAGCAGATGTGTTAGGAGGGGACTACGGAGGTGACAATTTTGGTGATACAGATTTTGGTGGTGGCGATTATGGCGGAGACCTTGGTGGTGGCGACATGTTTGGAGGGGGAGATTTTTAGAAGTCTTATCTGTGATCTCATTCATATAGTTGGGAGTTGGAGAGGTTTTGTATGGGCAGAAATTGTTTTTCCGACGCATGGGTAAAAGACTTGTGACTTTAACATTAGGACACATTAATTGCCCCAGAATACAACAAACTGTTAAGATTCTGGCCAGTCATCAGATTTGCTGTTTCCTCCCTTATATTTCGTCCCACTGTTATTTTGTTGAGTTTTAAATGTTTTTGCCCTGATCCGCTTTGTCCGCAGCCTTCTTCCTGGTTCGTTTCTTCGTATAGACGTCCTTTGCGACGTCACTATTTTGTATTAAAAAAATCTGTTGTAGACGTCTCTAATCACGTCATTACTTTGTATAAAAATCCCAAAGATTCTACGAATAATAATATTATAGTATACTTTATACAAAGAAAGTTACAGTTTCTACCACAGTGTAAAGGCACCAAAATCCTTCATTGACAACTGTTTGAGAACATCCTATGCTATAAACAAAGAGAGGCATAAACATATTCAAAAAACACATAGTACTAACGAAGTGGAGAAACTTATTCTAATAAAATCGAGTTTATTAAATATCAAGAACAGTAGTTACAAAAATCTTAAAACACACAGAACATTCCGCATATACAAGAAACAAGTTTCAAATGCAAAAAAAAGAACAGCAATTATTATTCAACAATAACGCGAGGTGTTAACATATTTTGAGAATTTCAAAATGTTCTTTTCAGAACTTAAAGCTGCACTAGATAAAGCAAAAATATCCAAAGTGAAAAAAATTTCTTCATACGGAAAAATCAAAGTAGCTCATCTAACAAGAGAAATCGGTGCTTAGGTGAGGTTGGTCGGTTTAATTTAGAAGTAACAGAGAAGGCTCGCATAAAGAAAGAGTTTAAAGCACTTCAACAAGAATAAAGAAAATGTGTCTATAAACTACAGAAGTTTGTGGGCTCGGCTGGTCGCGCATGACCGACAACAGTAATTTCCATAGCGAGGTATGCTACAAAGATCGACCTTAACTACAAGGCTGCATGTCGTTTCAGTACCCTTGTCAACGCAGTTTTTCATAATTTTTGGCACTGTAATCATTAAAATTATTTTTAAAATGTTTAAAGATATAAAGTTTAAAACTGTTAGATGTTTCACTACAAACTAACTCTTCACAACTATCCTTAGTGGCTCTGCTAGAAAACTGTTATGACCGGCAGAGCAAGCATAAGTTCCTGAATCTGATTCTTTTGCGCTAAGAATAGTGAGCCGTTCATTGTCTTCCGATAACTGAAACCACGTAACCGATCATTGATTACTGCATTAAAAGGCAATCAGAAAGAGAGAAAGAATTTTAATTTTACTGTAATTCTATACCTGTATTCGAGGATTATTTGAATCCCCAGAAATGTCGACATCATCCATAAACCATCTTACTGGCTTCTGTCCATTAGCCATGCATTGAAAATATATTGTCGTACCAGCTACGAACGGACTTTGTCCGAAAACCTTTACAGAAGGACGAATCTCCTGACGGGGTTTCGCTGTTAGAACAGAGCTGTAAATAACTGTCTGGTAGATTAAATATCCAAAGAGAAGCAAAAAGGACAAATTCAGAAGAGCAAAATCATGTTTCACCAGAATCTTTTACCAGAATCTAGCACAATTTTTTACCAGAATCTAGTACAATTATTTTCACTATCGAATTTGTTATCATTTCCACCGCAGCCGCTATAATAAAAAACTCTACAGTAACCGACAGAAACGTCAAAGAACCATTTCTCGATTTGTTCACTGCACGTGCCGCTCTCAGCAGACATTGTACAAACAACTATAAATGAAGCGTCGAAGGATTACTGTGCATTAATTTTGGACAAGAAAAGCAGTGATACAATCATAGCAGATTCTCGAATTTGCTAGACAAAATACTTTCAGCAGAGACAGAAAGTAATGAAATCTGGAAAGAAGCAGCCAACAGCTACGTTCTTTAATTCGTCTAGTTCAGAAAACGTAAAAAGTTTTTTTAAATCTGTTTCCACTAGTATATTCGCCAGCATTTGTGCACAAAACCTCATTGATATGTAAATTAAAGAGTACTCATTGGATTCTTAGAAACGTTTAGCGTTTGAGTTCCATTATTGACTGTAACTTTATTCCTTTTCTTTACTTTCCTTCTCAAAATTTGGTAAATCAAGTAACCAGCTGGGAAATTTCTTTCAAGTTTCAAGCAATTATACAACCTGAGAAGCGAAAGACTACCGTGAGGGTTGAGAAGTGGCTGTTCCGAAGAAGACTGGCACGCTTCCTGACATTGTAATTTCGTATTAAATCGATTTCCGTTCCCACGACACCCACCATAAGTGAACTGTTTACATTCTTTATCAGAGGAGTCGAAATACCATTGAGTTAAAGGATCAGTACAAGGACCGCTGTCTCTTTCCATTTCACATACGCCTTTCTCTGGAAACACAGATGTCACTGAATATCAGCACACAACACTAACTGAACCAATGAATTTGCAGTCTTGGCAAAATTGAACTTATATCACCGGCTCACCTGAATCCTTTCGTTCAGCTGCACAAAGATTTTCACATTCAGCTTTGCTAGAGAATCGGTTCCCATTTCCACCACACCCTGAATACATAAAAGCTTGGCACTCTTTAGCTTCCGAATTATAGTGCCATTTCGTTAAACCGTTTTCACAGTGACCAGGCGATACTGGCATAGAACAAACATCTGAAAAGAGTGTAACAGTTGAAAAACAAAGTTAAAAGTATGACTTGTCAATTATCTGTTCAATTAATTACTCTTGGTCTCTAAACATTAATGAAATCAGTTTTTGATAAAAAGTAAAATTGTGTAAAACTGACCTTCATTTCTATAGATTCCGCAAGCTCGTTCACAAGCTTCAGTTGAAGTAAAGAAGTTGGCGTTGTGCTTACAACCAGTGTAGATAAATGAAACGCAAGCTGATTTTTCTGAGTCATATCTCCACCTTAGTATCTCTCCATAACAAGCTCCCACTTCTTCAGGCAACATACATAATTCTCAAAAAAAGCTTGCTTTGTAAAGGCATCCTATAAAATATATCGTTAACCCTCAACAAGAGGTAACACCATACCTGGCAAAGAGGTTAAACGAGTTCCTGTACTAACTACCCTGTCAGCCGTTTCAGGTTCGTCTGGACGAGTGTCAAACAGCGGCTTCTCTCCATCAACTCCCTTCTACAGAAGAAGTCATATTTTGAAGAATTTTCAAAGATGGTTCATTTTAATTCATAGAAAAGTACACAACTAAGATCCTCAAAAAACAAAATACATTATCATCGTTGTCACTATTTTCTTCTGTGGCGGAATCATCAGCCTCTTCATGAACGTTGTTATCTTCGTCAAATTCAGGAGTTAAATTTGGTCCTTCCGTTCCTTGCAATTCCTTAAAACAATAATAAACATTCGGTAATGTTAAAGATAAAAGATCAAAAACCACACTTCAGGGAACATTAATAACTCTGAAATGAAAAACCCAAATAAAAAGCAAAAAAATACCTGATGACCGGCTTTACAAACCTCCTGGCAGTCTCCAAGAGTGTTAAATCGATTTTGATTTCCATCGCAACCGCCATAGATAAATTTAACACACTGGTCAAGAGTCTCGTTGTAGTAATACTGTTCAAATGCCGCTCTGCAAAAATTTAAATAGGCGTAAATTCTTAATGTCTGACGGCTTAATTTAGTCAATTTATAGATAACTGTCTCACCTGCATGATCCAGTAACCATTGGCAATGAACATAACCAGGGTTTAGTGCCATCAGCCAATCTAAGTGACTGTAGCTGTTCTAAAATTCAACGGTTATTCAAATACAAGCCACAGCAAAAACCATGCATGAAAAAATGCATTAACACAAGCGAAATAATTATTTGATCAGGTCAGTATGTCAAAAGAAAAAAGTACCAATAGGTTGTTAACGACTGTACTTGTTAACGTACAACGATGGAAATCAAAATTCCTTCACCCTTACAAGCGCAAAATTTCATAAGCAAAAACCAAACTGTTTCAACCCGCAATACAAACAGTATGCATGCAAGAACAAGCAACAATGAAGATATTTATATTACAGACAGACAACTGAGACTCATTAAAAAAAAAAAAAAAGCATTATATCATCGTTAGGCACTGCTGTAGAACTCGCACAACTTTCTCGACATTCCAGTCAGGTAGTTCACACCATGCAGAACTCATGACATCAAAACCGATTAATTGAGCACAGAAGTTCAGATATGCGACAAACTGACTCGTTTTGCACCATTACAGGGCCACTTTATTTTGAACGAAAGGCAATTAGCGCAACAGCAAATGCAAAAAGGATAGAGAATAAAATTAGAATGAATCCACAATTTGTGAAAGCCCAGAAGAACTTGTGGCTGCAGTGGCTAATACGAATGATTCAAAGGAAGAGATATAAGGAAACTTCTGACATTACAACTTGTGAGATGATTATTACAACAGGTTCGCGTAGAAAGGAATCAAAATGAAGGCGAAGAATATAAAAAAGATACAGAGTGTTTAAAAAAAAATTCAATTTTAACAAAACTCCAATAATATATTCAAAATACACTCATTATTTATAAAATAAACCAAAAAGTAAAACAAAAAATTTTTTTCTTTTGCACAGAAATATCAACAAAACCATCTGAAGCTGAAAGAAAAAGAATGGCAAGAATTTAAGAAGTAACAGTAGATAAACAGATCGGCAGACGGATTTACAGTAATCCAAGAAGAAACAAGCGAATAATACTTTGACAGTGCATTTGTTTGAGATGTCAGTAATATAAAACAAATAGCAATTGATTGGAAAAAAAAACTATGCTGAAAAAAAAACTGTTAACAACCTTTCATATGTGTATTATAAATGAATGAAAAAAA